GGAGATAACATTTGGAAAGAGGTATTGCTTCAGATTTATTCCAATTTATAGTATAGCCTGATAGTTTTGAAGATGATTGAATGGCGTCCATTAGATGTGGGAGGGACTCCAGATATCACTGCTAATATGTTGTCCGCGTAAAGTAAAAGCGTATGTTCTTTACAAATAGGCCTATCACTGCATAATACACCAAGAAGCCCTCGCTGTCATGGACGTTGTTGTAAAGACAGTTAATTTCCTCAAGTCCAGAGGTCTGAATCACCGCCAATTCAAGACTTTTTTGGAGCAATCAGAGGCAGATTTTGGTGACGTCATATACTTCACTGCCGTCAGGTGGCTGAGCAGAGGTGCCAGAGTGAAGCGTTTTTTTAACCTGAGGAAAGAAATAAGAGAGTTCATGGAGTCAAAGGGACAAGATGTGACAGTTAAGTGACACTAAATGGCTCTGTGACCTAGCGCTCCTTGTTGACCTGAATACTTGTCTCAGCGATCTCAATGTGAAGCTGCAGGGCCGCGGGAAGCTCATTTCCACACTATTTGACAACATCAAAGCTTTCCAGCGAAAACTTGAACTGCTGCAGGGACAGCTCAAACAGGGAGATCTAACCCATTTTCCCGCCTGCAAGGCGCTCGTAGATGACACAGACACAGATGGGCGCCACGTTTTATGTCACCTGCGTTCAGACAAGAACCATAACCTCAAAAAAAACTCAGAGAGGAATTCGACCACCGCTTCACCGACTTCAGGGACCACGAGAAGTCATTCAACCTCTTCCAAAATCCTTTCTCATGTGTCCCTGAGGAAGAGCTCATCGACCTGCAGGAGAGCTCCGAGGCCAGAGCAGCATATCGTGACAAGAATCTCATTGAGTTCTACAAAGGACTTTCCCCATCCACATACCCTGCACTTCACCAGCATGCTATCAGAATGGTCTCTTTATTTGGAAGCACATACATTTGTGAGAAGACCTTCTCCACCATGGCCATCAACAAATCCAAGCTGAGATCCAGGCTGACAGATGGCCATCTACATGCTGTCCTTCGTATCGCAACGACGGAGATGGAGCCGGACATCAGAGGAATCGTGGCCAACCGAAAACAGCACCACAAATCCCATGCCAATAAAAAAAAGGTATGTTGACCTAGTAACAAATATTCAGTGTGACTTAATGACAAGCTTATTGATGACAGGGAATGATAGATATTAATGATGATGATGACTTGTTTGGTAAGCTTCTGTTTTACAAGTCTCTCTCTCTTTCTCCCCCTCCCTCTGTGTGTGTGTGTGTGTGTGTGTGTGTCTGCAGTTTTTCTGTGGTGCTTTGGTAGCTGGAATTGCTCCTGAATAAGGTCCATGCTGATAAGACTTCCTGCAAGGCACACTGAGACTGACTGACTGTTCTAAATAAGTTTTTACATATATTCTGAAATGGACTGCAGGACTGTTATATTCCAAATTTGACTGTAGAGGGCAGAAAACCCCATGGACTTTGTGTGCATTACAGTGTTTCTCAAGGTTTTCTCCAGTTTTGCCAGGTTTAGCCTCATTTATTAATTAAAATGTGTTTATTGCACATTACTGGATGTAATGATACCATACATCCCGCCAGTCTCACATTGGTCCGCCTGCTGTGGTTTTCAAGGACTTGCACTCTGTACCACAAGGCGTCCATGTGTTTTTCACGGCTCCCGCTGTCATTCACTAGCCACTCTGAGGTCTCCTCCAGGCGGGCAATATGAGCCTCCGCCTCCCCTAGCCGCCCCTGCATAGCCATCAACGTCATTTTCAACTCTGCCGTTGTTTGTTTTATTTTAGAGATGTCAGCTGAAACGCTTTGCAGTGTTACTCATTTTACTCACTTCTGCAAACAATTTCTCAAGATTATTGGACTGTTTCTGGGTGGCAGGATATGAGCTACCTGTGTTTTCATCTTCATGTGCGGGCTTCTCCGTGTAGGCATGCGGCTTGGATTCTTGAAGTATTTCGAAATTGCCATTCTTTCTGCCGTTATTTTCACATAATTCTTTGCCCTGACCGTTTAAGTACTTAGAGTGAGCAGACAGTCACTTCAATCACGTGTTTTAGAATATAAAAAGTTAAAATTAACTTGTGCATGGTGACAAGCTTTTCAAGTTCATCTTGTTTGCTGCACCACGTGTCTCCAAAGTATAAACATTTTGAAAAAAGGATTTTCCTTCCTCTAAAATTTCCTCTGGTGATGATAATACCGGTGGCACATTGGTGTGGTGGTTAGCACTGTCGCCTCACAGCAAGAGCGTCCCTGGTTCAATCCCAGGAGGGAGCCCTTCTGTGCAGAGTTTGCATGTTCTCCCCATGTCAGCATGGGTTTTCCGGTTAATTTAGGTTAATTGGTGACTCTAAATTGTCCGTAGGTGTGAATGTGAGTGTGAATGGTTGTCTGTCTCTACGTGTCAGCCCTGCGATATTCTGGCAACCAGTCCAGGGTGAACCCTGCCTCTCGCCCAATGTCAAGGATAGGCTCCGGCCCCCCACAACACTCAAGAGGATAAGCCGTTGCATATGTGGATGGATGGATGGACGGATGGATGGATGGATGATAATCCTCTAATAATTCTTAGTCACCAACCTAGTCACATTTTTTCTTGTTTGATTCTTTTGCATAAGTTTAAAAAAATAAACTGTGCATTTCTCGTCTTTCTCCATCCATGTAGCTTTAGAATTATTTATAATGCCACTGGATTATTCGTGGTATAGTCTCAAACTCCTTCTGTTTGTTTTCCAAGGTCTTTTCCAAGATCTGAGGGAGCTTGACTAACTTGATCAATTTTGTCACGTAAAGTATTTATTTCTTGTAATAATTTATTTTCATTACTTTTATTCAGCTTGTGTTTCTAAGAAGAATATTCAATGTGGTATCCCCCAAAAGAACATTTAAATGAGTCCTATACAAGATGAGGGTTGGCACTACCAACATTATACTTAAAAAACTTGGAAATAAAAGTTTTAGTTTTTTAAACAAAAAGGTCATCATCTAAGGGCCGTAATATACTTGCTGCACACAACGCAAATGCCTCATCTCAGCATGGCTGCCCCGCGTGATCTGCGTTCATTTGACGTGTTGAACGCACATCTCAACGCAAGGTACCGCGACGCGTGCACGAGATGCAATATTCATATAACCGCTAGAGGCGCTGGTGCGAATGCACAAAGTGACCCGACCGGATGATCAGACCAGACCCTTCTTCTTCTTCTCATGAGATTCTTCATGATTTCCGGGTTATATTTCTGTTGTCTGCCCCAAGTGGTGACCGCCAGTATTGTGCATTTTGGCTGTATAGTGCTGCGTACACAACACACAGACATGGCACGTTGTGTACGCGTCATGTACGCGCACATTTGATCAAGCAGCAAGTATATTACAGCCCTAAGAAAGACTGATTAAACTTCCGGAACCCGGGACCTCTGAGAACATCATCTGTCATCACATGGAGGGTTATTAGTGCATGGTCGGAGTGCTGCATGATTAATCTGATCGCAATTGCAATCGTGATGTCAGGCTGTGCAATTACATAACCGCATAAAAGGCCGCGATTTGAAATTTAATCTAAATAAATGTGAACGTGTGTGCCTGCGAACGTGACTGCCTCTCCTGTAGTGTGTGGAGTTTGTTGACATTACACCCACAAGCTATCCTGGCGTGTGCAGCAGGTATAGTCAGGTGACCACCCGGCATGCATGAGAGCATGAGCACGACCAAAAACAGGCTGAGTTGGTGGCGAAAAAAAACTCAACGTCTATTATACGACGATACTTTGGATTCAGGGACGGTGACACTGAACAGAAAGACGTGCTGTGTAAAACTTTAAAAGTTAAGAGTCGACACGTCCCACAGCAACACGACCAATCTATATCAACACTTGAGACAGCACAGAGAAAAGTAGGAAGAATGCATGCGAGAGAAAGTCAAGCCAAGTAACTTTAAAGACAAAGAGACAACTGAAAGCCGCCAGAGCCTCATAAAACAACAACAAAGCACAGTTACACATACATTTGTAAATGTCACACCATACGCCAAGACCTCAAAGAGATACAGGGAAATCACGGACTCCATAACAAACTATATAATAATAAATGAAAAATTGAGTAATTTTGCTCAGGCTCGGCCCACTTGACATGCTGCTGTGTTGTGCAATGGCCTATTCACATGCTGGAATTTGTCATTTACGTGACAACACCTGAACGCAACACAGGCTGAGTGTGTGTACGTTGCTGCGCTGCTGTGCCAGAGCCGTGTTTGCCTGTGCCTAACAGCAGTCTGTTGATGGTCATTTACACACTGTCCATAACAATAACCATGTCAGGTCAGGCCCATGCCCACCTAATATAATGTAGGGGAAACACTGAATCAAGCAAGAAGACTCATGATACCATTTATGTATTATATTGTAATCGCAATCGCAAAAAGCGATATTGTCCACCAAAATCGCAATCACACATTTTTATCAAATCGTGCAGCACTAGTCTGAGCACATATGTTCAATCATGTCCGTCATAGATATCTCAGAACATAGTAAGAAGGATACATGGAATTAATCAGTCCGACTGGCTTATTTTTTCCCATGCCAAGTATACCTGATTATACCTAGAATAAGAGTTTTGTTTACCTGACTTTTAGTGCAATCTGCTGTCATTAAAAACAGGTTAAAATCAATTAAAATGATAATATAAAAATCATTGACAGTACCAGCATTCTGTAGTGTCAGCACAGTGATGATTGTATTAAGCAAATATATATCTATGTACAGCATCAAGATGTTTAATGAAAAGGGAAGTAGTAACTCCCATGAGCTTGTTAAAGGTAGTCCAACAAAGCCTTTCCTTTAACAGCTACATGTGTTTTTTCTCACTGTGTTAAGAGAGAAAACTGAGGTGTGCTGTTAGCGCCAAACTCTGTTACTCACAGTGTAAAACTCAGCTTTAGATCTTTTTTTTTTTTGTTTTTTTTTTTTCCTCTCAGCTACCTGCCCTGGTTTGAAGTCTTCTACAAGCTGCTTAATATTCTTGCAGATTACACCATCAAAGGCCAGGTAAGTCCTGACAGGGGACTCCTTTTGTTATGGGGATATTCAATCAATCAATCAATCAATCAATCAATCAATTTTTCAGATGCAGCCACTTCAAATTTCCCACGCCATCTAAAAGCCTTCCAGATGCCTGCCAACTTCCAGCCAACTTCCAGCCAAATACCATCCCCCCCACCTTTCTGGGGGTGTGCCTAGATTCCACCGTAACGCGCCCATTTATTCAATTACAAGGTGTCACCATGAGATGGCGCTTCCCTCACAGAAACACAAAAACTAACAAAGATTTAGAGGTGCTTGTACTTTACCTAGTAGTATTTCCATTCTATGCTACATTATTAATCTACTCCACTGTCTCAGATGCGAATATTACACTTGTATTACACTACTTTTATTTTAAGGATTTAGTTTGGCCTATTAGTTACTAGTTATTACTTTTGTACAATAATATAAGTTTGTTGCTAGGTTATATTATTACAGGTTACAATAAGCCACCCAGCAGTGTTTAAGTTAATAAAATGACCACCTTTATCTGCTGCAGCATCAGTGTTATAAACACATTAGTTATTAAGGAAAACCTAAAATGTTGTTACAATTGACCCAGGTCTCCCCTATCTGAAAATATTGAGTTAGTCTCTCAGAATAATGAGAAACGTTCTGAAAATAACTTAGTGCCTGAAAAAATTACTCAAATCATTTTGAAAAAGTTGTTCATTAAGAAACTTAAATTTTAAAATAACATTAACATTAATTAAGAGACGAAATCATTTTTTTGGTTTATAATGTGAAGAATTGTAAAATGTCCCTTTTATGTGGTAGTTCAGACATCGACAGTGAAGATGTGTTGTTTAATGTTTGCATTAAAAGTTCGTATAGCCCACTTAGTGTGATGATCTGAGTGACTGGGAAACCTATTTAGATGGAAACACTCACCCATTCAGAGGGAATGAAAACGTTCATGGTAATGCTTATTATGTGTTTGAGCTCTGTCACCTTCCAAGATAAACAGGACCACATTATGTCGCGTTAGTGAAAGGCTACTTCACTCCTTTTCTGCAGGCTACGTGCAGCTTGTCCGTTGTTGCGGCTGCATGTGAGGATGAAATGCCAATTTCAGCCTGTGATCTCTCACTGACTGACTGACAGCCTCATCCAAGTGACATTTTACAATTCTTCTATTTAAAACTAACGAAATGTATTAGTTTAGTGACATTTTACAATTTTTCATATTTAGGACTAACGAAATTTGTTTCTGTACATGGTCGTGCATTTACAACTCTCTTCTGCTTTCTGTGTCGCCCATGGTGGAGTCGTGTTGGCAACCATGCACCGCTCCACACCAACGCGCCTCTGCCACCGTACAGTTGCAGATGTTTTGCAGCATGACACGATCCATTAGACATGAACGCACTCAAATGGTCATCAATATTACGGCATGCATGTGCATTTAGGTGGGCTACTTCAGTCAAGATGTTCTGTGACTGCGCTCTCCCAGTGCGTAATCCCGGCTGTATATGCTTCCACACAGTCCCATCTCTTCCAGTTGCATGGCCATCTGGTTGATCCAACACTATACAAAATGCATAAAATTGTTTCGCAAGTGCAGTGATCTTGCTAGAAACTACTGAACGACATTTACATATATATTATATAATTAGTAAACGTGTTTTGTGAGAGTGGGGGCTTGTCTGTCACAACATCAGAGGGCTGCTGTGATTGTGAGGGTGAAGCGGGGGGAGCCTCTGTCACCGGACGCCTGGGCCTTTTCCTCTGATTCTCCGTCACTTATGTCCTGAAGCATCGCCAGAGCTTGTTCGACATTCATCCATTTTCTCCGGTTCATAAATAGGCTACACAGTCCAAATCCCTCTCCTTTCCTCTTTTCTGTCTGTCTGTCTTTTTCTCTGTCTGTCTGTCTAAACTAGCTTGCATTTCGCAGAGATGTTAGAGTTTTACTGTGACAAAGTTAAAAGCATTTGAAAATAGCAGGGGGTAAAAATGACCCCTTGGCAGTTCTAGTGTTAATAAATAGTGATAGACATTTTATCACAAATTCCTCTTGCATCAGGTCTTGTGAAATATCGCTTCCATGAATCTGTTTAGACAGACAGCGAAAGATTAAAGAGGCGAAGCTGTTCTGCATGCGGCAGGCAGAGCGTGTGCAGAGCGTTGTGCAGTCCAAACGTCAAAGTAATAATTAAAAAAGAAAAGATCTATGTAATCATTTCCAATATTCACAAGCTTTATTTTATCTAACGAAAGATTCTGCTTCGGTCCGTGTGTAGTCTTTGAAAAACAACATTTTGGCTGAGGTTAAAGGTGGGTGTGGGGTGGTGTAACAGCAATCTAACAGCACCATAAATTACATTTATATAGCCATCATAATGGTATTATGTATATATAGTGATCATCATTAAATATGCTCTGTGTGGAAAGCTCTCTCCCACTATTATAGTAATAAGAGGCGCAGTAAACCACTTCAGCTTCCACACTTACTGCTCCTCCTGGTGGATAGACAGACCATTGCAACTGGTTTCTACAAATTAAACGTAGGGGCGTTACCAGTTGGCCTGTATTCTCTACGACATCGCAGGGGATCTCATTAGAGGTACAAGCCCAGCCAGGTGATGACAGAGACCTGTCATGGATCGGTCAGGGCTCCACCACGGACCAAACGGAAATTTGAAGTGGCTGCATCTGTATTTATAAAGCCCGATATCACAAATCACAATTTGCCTCAGAGGGCTTTACAGCATACGACATCGCTCTGTCCTTATGACCCTCGCAGCGGATAAGGAAAAACTCCCCAAAAAACCCTTTAACGGGGGAGAAAAATGGTAGAAACGGCATGTTGTGTTAAATCAGCATTCTTGACCTCAGTTAGGGATTTGCTGACAATTTCAGCACTGAAAGTGTGGCTAGAAGTGAGTTCTTATCAGTATTTAGCTCTTTGAAAATTGGTCAGATACTGCATTGGTGATGCTAATCTGGGGTGTCCAACTGTGCTGATTGTATAGACCTTCTGTGCTGTTTTGGGAAAGATGTGTGTGAAGCATCCCTGCTTTCACAGATGTAAACGGATATAATCTGTAAGAGAAACTTGACTTGGTGCTTATTCTAGTTTAAATGGCCATTGCATAGATTTTGAATATTTTGATGTTTCAGGAAAGTCAGTGGCAAGAGATCCTGGTGTCACTACATACACTTCCCATCCCTGAGCCAGGGGTCCCTGTTCATCTTGGTATGGTGAGTCCTTATTCACTACAACACATCTAACTGATCTCAGTTTAAACTGGCAACACTGCAAACATCTGTTTTCTGTCACTGATAGTCAGATCACCCTGTTAACAAGTGAAGCATGTCAGTATCATTGGAGGCAAAATTAGTTGACTGCATCTTTTTTCACAGTCTCTTTGCTTTGCTTTTATTTCTCTGTACCACACTGACGTGGATTCAGACTAGCACTGACCCTCCTGTTTTCTGTTCTCTCCAGCATTCCTTCTTCACTGTGCCTGACACAAGGGAACTCCCTAGCATACCTGAGAAGGTGAGTATTATACCTGTGAGCAGTTACACGTCAGGTCAGTTAGCAACCATAAACACATTTCTGAGGGGCTCAATCAGTGAAATGTGCATGCATGCAGGGGATAGAAAGCAAACCAGAATGAATATTTGTGAGAGGATCAACAGGAGTAGCTGTCATTTTTTTAAACTAAGTTTTTATTTCAATTCCAGCAACTTATACGATCATTTTCAGAATTTCTATGCAGTTTCTTTTTCTATTTTTACAGCTGTGCCTGTGTGGCTTGCAGGTAAACAACAATAAATTAAAATAAACCAAACACATCCCAGTTTAAAGTACTGATTTCGAAATAAAGCAGTAGTCAAGTTTAAACCACTTCATTGTAATGCATTTAAGTGCTGCTGTAGTCAGTATCCGAAAAAAGGTATTTCTTTGCTCTACCATCAATGCCCTGTGGTGTTAGACCCAATAATGCTATCTTTGAATCTTTTGTGAGATTTTGGTAAAATATTTTCTTAAGTGCCTTAAAGGTGATAGCTACAAGTTTTATTCCTCCCGGCCAGTAGGTGTCGCACTCACACTCGCCCGCTCTCGTTCCAACCTTCAATTGTACTGGTTGCCAGGTTGGCCAAATACCCGGACAGAGAACAAGAGAGATGTCAAGCGAAGAGTCTTCCGTGGTACCGTATATTAATGATTAAATCATAAATCCTTTCTTGTGTGCCCTATAATGCCTTTACACACTGTAACAGTCTCCTTGTAAAACATGTTTAGATCACTAACTAAACAGCTGACTGACATTATATGATGGCGAATGCTCGTGTACTTTATTTTTTTTACTTCATCAGTGACTGAACCTGTTATTTCTATAATTATGATCGTTTATTCATTTTCAGACGTTTTAGTTAGCCTAAGAAAGATCATGTTAGCTAACTATTTATTGTCCAGCCTGAAGGAAATCCATCCAGCTCCAGTGAGGACAGCCCGGGTGTAGGGAGAGGCAGGAGAGGCCAAGGGGCTGTTGCTGGTGGAAGAGTAAGGCAGACACTGGTTCCTACTATATCAGCATCAACACCAGTCACACTAATCTGGCTGGTTCTATAACAGCACCACACCCACCTGATGCTGTTAGGATTTGTATTAGATTCTATTTGTATTCCAGAGACAGAGAAGAGGCAGAGGTCAAGGTGGCAGAGGAGGTGGAAGAAGAGGAGGAAGAGGGCAAGGCAGAGGTTCACGTCGAAGTGAGGATGCTGTTGACTGTTAGTTATGATTTTTGTAAAATGGTGGCAGTGTGATCATTTGTGCACATTCGATTTTCACTGAAGATAAAACAATGATTCAGTGTTGACAAATGTTAAGCATTGCATAAGGACTTAGGACTTTTGCCTTAGGGCTTCACACATATCAGAATTGCACACGTTTTCAAATAATAAACACATCAATAACCTTATGGTGTATATAAAATGAAAAACGGCCAAATGTCAGATCAAGTAAGTCCATTTTTATTTTGAATAGAAATTGGAATAATACAAATATCACGTCATCATAATAAAAATCTTGATGGTCATCTTTGGACATTGTAATACTTTTGATGAATGGTTCTCATTTCTACTGTTAGTTTCCACCTTGCCTACATGACAAACGATCAATAACAAACTGTAGGTAGCACAAGGGTACAGGCAATGCTTAGAAATTAAAATACAAAACACAAAAAAGGGAATGATACAGTCCATGAAATAATTTCAACTGGTTTCATAAAAAAAAAAGTCACCATGCTTCGTGAAATACCCCTTAGGGAGCAGTGGAGGACAGATAGAGAAGAAAGGTGGAGGTCCTTTTTTTGTACATATGTATCCAGTGGTCACTTACTAAAGGGAAAGAGCTTCATCCACTTCCTCCACCTGTTTTTTGACAAGCGGTTTGGGGAGAGTTTCATCAACACTCGGAAGCTCTGTTAAACTGTAGTGTTCTCTGCCGCAGTCTGGGAACAGACCTATTGCTGAAGTCCTGGATCTACACAGGGCCAGCTGCTGTTTTACCTCTTATACTGAAACTGTATATAACAGTGAAAGCCTACTACACAGGCAAAAATACACTGACTGGTCAAAGAATAACCAAACAAGTCTCTGCTTTTACAAAGCTCGACAATGCAACCTTTTAGTTTCATGAGGTTCAACAACTATGGAAGACAGAGACATGCTTACAAATAAAACATATAATTCAAACATTTTGTTTGAACGCTTATAAAGCACATGGTGTTAGTTTTTTAGTATGAAATGTGCTATATAAATAAAATTAGGCTGTTTTTGTAACTATGACTATTAAGCACATTGTGCTGCCATTGTGCATAAAATGTGCAACATAAATAAAATTGCATGGTATTGGATTATGAAACAATGGTGTTAGATAATAGCAAGCATAACAGCAACAGAGCAATAATAAAAGAGCAAACACTGTAGCAGGTGATGTGAGGGCCACAGGAGTCAGAGACAGGAGACAGGGCTGGTGCAGGCGTCAAGGTGCCTTTCCTTTTCTTCAAGGGCGTTGATGCCAGAAGGTTCATCAGAATCATGTCTATAATGGCAAAATGTTGGAAGGGGGGGGGGGGGGGGGGGGGGGGGGGGGGGGGGGGGGTCAGAAGAGGAGGTTGTGGTTATTAGATGAAGTTACTATTTCAGCAAGAAAACATTACAGTTGAAAGCTAGATAAAAAGTTCAGACAGGATCTATGAGAATCAAGATAAAATAGTAGGCTATGGACACGCATCAGGCCTATCTCAAACAATGTGGTTGTTGCAAATTGTACAAAGTGGATAGTTACTAGCCTAACAATAAATAAAAGACCAAAAACTACTGTTTTGCTAAGGATTCTGGAGCAAGTAAAAGTAATAATATCCCATCACGATACATTCCTTGATATTGTCAATAACAACATTATGAGCCTATCAGCGCGTGGTAGCATCTAAGATGACGGGAGATTTGGCAAAGATTTCAGTAGACATCCCTGACCATCAATGCAGTGGTGAATTGATCCCATTCAGTTTGGACCAGCACAACAATTAAAATGTTTATTATAGAGAGAAGAGAAATCATGTGCTGATACGTTGTGGTTGAGAGCTGAGTTGAGAGGAGTAAATGTAGCCGAGTGACAGTGCGTCCTCTCAGTAGCTAACGCATAGAGCCGGTAAACCCAGCTCAAGAGGCAACATGCTACCAGTTCCATCAATGGAGATATCAGTAGCTAGCCAATGCCAACTGCTAACGTGAGTTGTTCAAAACCTTTCTTTTTAGTAAACTCTGTGTACATAAACAATGTTGTCAATGCTCGAGTTCTGTGTAGAGGCCCTGGTGATACTATGAGCAAAGTTTCGTGTTGTGTTGAGCCTTCTCAGTATATTAAAAATAGCTATTTTGATGTGTTTATAGTAACGTTAGTGCCGCTACGGAACCCATTCAAAGGGCATTTTGACCCGAAAATGAAAATACACTCAATTTTTAAAAAGGCTTTTCAGTCGTAGTTATGCTTTTAAAAGAAAGTTTTACTCAGTGTACATTCACAAAAATACCCAAGGTTGCATTTTGGCAAGAGTTTTGCTTTAACGTTAGCTAGCAACGTTAGTTAGCATTAGCAAACATTTAGCTTACCTGTCCAGAAGGAAAGCGGCGACCTCCGCGTGGCTTATGAGCCTCCTCCTTCGTTTGTCGTGCTTCCTTCAGCTGGCACCAACACTCAAAAGCTTGACCGGTGTTCACTCTAGTCCTGCTTCGTTGTTGGTCTGCTCAAATTTGCGACATATAACGCCGAGACGATGCCATTTCTCCACAAAGCTATCACGATCAGGCGACCCCTGAGCTCCGCCTCACGTGACATCAACGTACTAATGCTATTGGCTCAGGGATCATTTCATGTCGACGTAGCCAACGTAGCCAACGTAACCAGATGTAAATATTTATATATTTTGGACCTGTCAAAATTTATAAAACAATTATTTCTATACTATAATTTTTTTATTTTTTCAGTAAAATGAATACTTTTATTCTACACCTCTCCTCTAGATGTTCTGTGGATGTATTATTTTTGAAAAATTATTTGTTTTGATGAAAAAGTTGTAGCTATCACCTTTAAGGATCTCTTCCCTAAATGTACTTAACTTAGTGCATGTCCAAAATATGTGTGTGGTTGCCAATTTGTGTACCACAGTTTCTCCAGCATTTATATGAGTATGTTGAGCCCATTTTAGCCACTATTTCTGGTGTCCGAAAAAATCTCATCACCACCTTCCATCTGAATTCCCTCCAAGTATTTGAGTTGGTTACAAATTGTGCACCTGTACATACTTCCTCCCATTTGTCCTGTGGTATGTCTGTACCCATTTCACTTTCCCATCTCATTTTTGTCTGTAATGTATTATTAAAGGAAATGGCCACTTTAGAATGATAAAATACAGACAGTACTTCCTGACCCTCATGCCGACAAGAAGTCCAATGTAGTTTTTTAATCCACAAAACTCGTTCGGGGTATCGGAGGATAACAGCTAGCCGGAATAACAGGTACACTTGAAGTGCATGGAACCCACATTTTGAAAATGTAATAAAATTCCGCTAATGCATTTCAAAAACGTCAGAATGGCTCATCTGTTGTAATCCAAGTGCCCTGAAGCCGCAGCATGCAAAATTGACTTGAAAAGACATAATTTACTCCACTTTTATAGCATCATTTCTCACTGTGGTCAGTTAGCCTGCCCTGCAGGCGTGCTGTGTTTACATGGCAACTCATGCGAGACTAGCTGATGGCTAGTGGTGGTGCTAGTTCTCGAGTCACGTTTTTGAAATGCATTAGCGGTGTTTTATTACATTTTCAAAATGTGGGTTCCATGCACTTCAAGTGTAGCTGTTTTCCCAGCTAGCTGTTATCCTCTGATACCCCGAACGAGTTTTGTGGATTAAAAAACTACAGTGGACTTTTTGTCAGCATGAGGGTCAGTAAGTACTGTCTGTATTTTCATTCTAAAGTGGCCATTTCCTTTAAGAGTCAGGCTTGAAAATATCTTTTTAAAAAAACTTTTTTATCAAAAACTCCTCGATTGGGGTAGGCTCCAAAACCTTATTCCACTCCTTGTGTTTTGTTCGAAAATTCCTTAATTGTAAATGTCTAAAGAAGTCTGTTTTAGGAAGCGTATATTCCTCCCTTAACTGTTGAGATGACTTAAGGCTGTCGTCATTACAGAGTTGGTGTAAATTAGTGAGTCCATATTCTGCCTGTTTTCTAAACCCTGCATCTCTGTGGGAGGGTGTAAAATCCTTTGTACATCCAAAATTGGTTAGCGCTGATATTGCTTTAGACAATCCAAATAATAGTTTTATTTTCCTCCAAATTTTAATTGTGGCTCCGGTCCATTCACCCATTTCAGTTTCACTTAGGGGGACATCTAGGAAAGGCAGAATCTGTAGGGGCCATACACACAAGGTTTTTTCTATGTTAAGCCAATGTGTGCATGAAAGATCCTCAATACATGTTGTTAGAGGTTTTAAAGGACAACTTCGGTATTTTTCAACCTGGGCTCTATTTCCCCATGTGTATGTGTGCGTATGATTCATGGGTACCACTCGTTCTAAAATTGGTTCAGTATTGAGGTGCGAAACAAGCTAAAATGGTAATGGGGGCAATTTTTTTTGCCACTGACTGGTTCAGATCGCCAGTGCTATCTCTGTAAATAGCATATGGTAGCGGCCCTGGGGCAGTGGTGACTGTGAATGAGTGGAGTCAGCTGTCAGTCAGTGTTGGAGCAGAGAGGGGGAGGGCTGCCCCGCTGGGTACTGTAAGTGAGTACCCAGCTGTGAATGATTCATTTAAAAACTTTTATGTTTTATCTAAATCACGTTATTTTAAAAAATCTCATTATTTGGCAGTGGACACATTGGAAAGTGTAAATTATGAGGCTTCTGTCAATATTTCTTTTCATGCTTGTATGATAAAAACTTGTGGAGACATTAATCCAAATAAATGACATATTTATCTAAATCCTGCCGAGCTCCGCTGGTGCAGGTTTCATTGAAGAGGCCCTGCCCACACTTCCAGCAAATCGTGTGCAAAGCATTATGGGGATTTTATACCCGTGGAGGATCCACACATGCATCCTTCAAATTTCTCTGAAAGAAGGACCCAGTCCTTTGTGAAACTTGGAGGGATCCTTGACATTGGAACAGTCCTTTGGCAGGGGTCGATGACGTAGCCTCCTTCAAATACAGCCATTTGAGGATCCTTCCTTGACTTTGAGAAACACCCAGGGTTCCTACACAGTATGGAAAAGTATACAAGTTGATTTTAATCATTTCTAGGTCTGGGAAGTTTGGAAATATAGAAAAATATGTGGGTTTCCAGACTGTTCACTGTCCAGACTAAAATTCAGAATTCCTAAAAATAAATTTATCGTACAAGCGTGTGTGTTTCATGCCGTTTGGAGCAAGCAGCCAGCGCTGCAAAAATTTTCACCACTGTTTGAGAGATTGTGGACTAGGAGCTTGATGTTGTTGAAAGCAATGCAAGAAGTATAGTGTGGGACTGAAGGCACACTTCTACACAAAGCTGCCTCTACGCCTGTATGTCACAGCTTGTAGAATGGCTCTGAACCAAAAGCCTTGTTACTGAACCAAATCCAGACATCTGCAGCCATATCAGTACAAAAGAAAATGCGTCTATATCTTTGAACTGCATTAATATATAGTATCACAAATAAGCAAATATTAAGCTTTTCTGAACATTGCTGAATTATGCAGTAATGTAGTTATCAGAAAAGTGAACTGTCTTTTCTGCATAAGGAAACCGTAGCTTTATGGCTGCATTTATCATTGTTTCCATGGACATGGTGAATAAAAAAGGCTGCCAGACACCATGGAAATAAAACAATTTAACCCTTTTCAATTCATTTTTAGTTCTTAGTGATAAAGGAGACAAAAATATTTAGAGGACAATAATATGATTATTTATGTAATATGTTAAAGGCGCTGTATGTAAGAATGTGGCCAAAAAGGTTACTGCACTCAAATTCAAAATACTGCCACGAGTCGTGTCCGCCCCCCCCTCCCCTACAGATTCGAGGTTGCTGGACAGCGGCACACTGGAGACTGATTTGTTTGCCCACGAGCAGCTGCCGTGGCAGGGCCGCGTCGGCGCGTCCTTGATCTTCGGTTTTCCAGCAGACCGTTCGAGCAAGTCCGGCTTCTCTGCTGCTAACGCTGCTGCAGGGATACAGCTGAGGAGGAGCCGGCTGCTCATGCTGTGTACCGGGACACTGCTAATGCTGCTTGCCGTGCTGCTGTAGCTCAGTCGAAACTGTAACTGATGCTGAGACTCGACTGACTGTGTGACTAGGAGACGGCGGTGGGTGGAGCAACAGGCCAAAACACAAATTCAAAACATAAACATGATTTGCAGACTGCAAAAAAAATTTTTAGATGCAAATATTCTGGCTGTACTATTGTTGGTGAGATCAGTATGTTATATGAACATTATTCCTTAGTCTCTGTGACATATTAGGAGGATTCTACGACTATTTGCTTTAGATTTCTTACATATAGCTCCTTTAAGGGAAAATAATACAAGTACAGGTAGCATGGGTTAGTTTAGATGCTTGACAGTGGAACATTGTCCAACTTTCTGCGTAGGAGTGGAGACTGAACAACCAGAATGCAAGTTTTCCAGGTGCTGGCTATTTGTACTCAGATGTCAAATATTTATAATATGAAAAATCCACTGAGAAGTCTTGAAATTTGAGCATGGAAAAGAATGGAATGTTGAAATGGAAAACATTTAGGAACCCTGAGAGGTGAAAAATGTTTCAAGAAGGAAATGTCCTGTCAGCTCAGAGTGCAGAATTAGTTCCTGGCTCCAGCAGGCTGGTCAGAGTGGTGGTTTTCATATGGTGCAAAGTCCTGTAAGGTGGTGGATACTTTTACACAGAAACAGCCATACGAACACAGTAACAGTGTAAACTGTCTGAATTTTAAATGCTGTTAAATGAATTGTGTGAGCGTTTGTCAGGCTCTATGATCAATACTTGGGTGATCAGCTTGACATGTTTAGAGTTTGAGTGTGTTACTTGATGACAGCTGATAGAAATGACGAATGGCTTTGGAGGAAAATGATCACTGAATCTTTCAGAGAAAAACATCAGTCTCTTTCATTGATCCTTTTATGGCAGATAGATAATCCTTGTTACTTCATGCCTAGACACTCTTTTTTATGAGTGAAGCTTTGCCTCATTATGCTGCAGTGCAGTGCAGCATAACACATCTGGTATCTTTTGTCTAGTACATTTTGCAGAAACTGCAGATTTTCATACATGCTTATGTTGCCAATAGGTACTACTAGCAGCGGTTTCTTACTGGAATTCTATGCTTTGTGTTAAGTAGCTAGTAGGGGTGTAAATCACCAGTTTCATCACAATATTATTATAGATAGATATTATATTGGATCTTTGGACAACTTTGTAATACTTGCCTCTATCTCAAAGTCTGCAAGGATATGATGTTGATTTGATTCAGGGGCCTGCCACCGATATGAGATGATATTATCTGCCCATTTAACACAATCTGTTTTATTAGAAGCTGCTGCCCCTTTCTTTTTGCTTTTGGCCATAAAAGATGAAAACAACACTTAAATTATAAGTTCAGTAAAGTTTACTTTAAATTGACTCCACTAACTCCACATTAAACAGAATAAGGTAGCCATCAGGGCTTTCTGGCTTAAAGCCCTGAAGGCAAACTTCTCCCAACAGCCATAAAACATGGACTAAGAACATCATTTAACAAAAGTATCAAATTCAGCTCAGTGATTACAGTCAAGGTTCATGGACAAAACAATTGTTTTTTGCTAGTCACCCATCATTAGGCTAAGCATGTTTACAGTACATTGCATAAATTAGCCTAGCCGCTAGCAGACTTCTCCTCTATTTATAGCTTAACAGATCACAAATAATGTTAGTATTTTTTTTTCCTCAATGCTGGTTTAAGTTGATGCATCTCCTGACAGAACAGCATAGTTGTATTTCAGCCTACATGTACATTTTTTCAGCTGAACATCGTTAAAATAGAGCAGCTAATATTACTGTTGTGAGAAGTTAGCAGAGTGAGATGCCCAACCAGGCAGGTACGCTCCATAGTAATATTTCCACACTGCTACCGAGTAAATACCTTTATTCACGTTGTCTTTCTCTTGGCTGCCTGCCATCTGCCTGCTGCTGTTTGAGGGTGACACAGAATTTCAAAATAACTTAAAGATGATGATATGGATCATTGGTTTCACTTTGCATGGATGATATTGGATCATTGTATTTCTATAAACTGGACTTGCTTTACAGTATCCATCCAGCAGGAAGAGTGTTTTCAACACCATGTGTGCTATCCGGGGGCCCACCAAAAAGACAATACAGTGATCTTATGATCCCTTTTCCTTGACTCCAGTGTTTCTGAAGTGGGGCTGTTTGAGGTATACATACAGTAGGCAGGCAGGCCTACATAAAAATTTCAGTATCAGTCAAAGTGGATGCTATACTTACATGTTCACCACTTTACCTTGAAGTCATATAGTTTTTTCCTTTGGCACAACATTTTCTCGACTGTAGAACTCCTGTATTCTGCGATCTGTGGCCCTTATCTGTGGCCCATTAATACAGTGTACAGTGTACTTGTACCCTCCACCAATACAAATATATTTATTGTTATTACACTGTTTTAAATGCACAAATTAAATGAACTGTCAGATTACATTTCATTGAAATTGTATTCATATTATTTTATGTAATTAATAAACAAATTGCATTAAATTGATTGAATACTAAGCTTTATAACAAGAACCAAAGTTTGTAGCATTTATACTGAAGCATGTTTTACTGGACTTAATCATCACAACTAACTCTCTTATTTGTTTTTCTCTCACTGTGTTTGACCCTTGCAGAGAAACCTAACAGAGTACTTTGTAGCAGTAGATGTCAATAACATGCTTCATCTGTACGCTAGTATGCTTTATGAACGTCGAATCCTCATCTGCTGTAGCAAACTAAGCACTGTAAGTAGAGTCTTCTTTCTGTTTCTTCTCTCTTCTACAGCTTTGCCATTGTTGCTCTCTTTGAAATATTCTGGTTATAAAGAGGTCTGTTACTGTCTATAGTTTATAAGACCACTGCATTTACCATGTGACCTCTCTGAAAAGAGTTTACAAAATGTGTTCTCTAAGATGTCATTTTGATACTTAAGAATGAAATGTTGCTATTTGGAGATGTCTCTGTTTTTTTTGAGGTGTTTTTTTCCCAAACATTGAATGTACAATATGTAAGCAAAAGCCTGAATTGGAAATTGGATTCATGCAAAACAAAGTAAGCTGATAGTAGCAACCAATTTGTGTATTGATAAACCAATGTCAGACAGTACATCTGTTGATAACTGAGACAAACTTTTCAAAAGAAAATCAGAGATCTCGTTAGAAATGTGAAATTGTCATTAATTTACTTGACACTGGCCACTTTTAAGTGGACATGGTCATAGTCAACAATAAAAATGTTAGATAGATATGAAGAGGCCCCCTCCTGCACATTAGTTCATTACAGTCATCTACTTTTTACTGTAATTGCAAACTGAACAGCACAGTTGGGTGCCGTTAAGGGGAGAAAAAAACTTCTAAACTTCAAACAGCTTATTGAGAACAGCTTTGGCTACACAGTGATAATGACCTTATGTGGCCTGATTTTCACGTTCCATTTTTGGTTGAGACAGGCAGTTTAAAGAATGGAATGTGAGCTCTTCCTTGTTACAGAAATGCACGAGGTTAATATGTACACCTCAGAGTAACTGAAGCTGGCCAATGCTGCTGAAACACCTATGTGCCATCATGGCTGTATAAGAAATAGTGTGAAAGCGAATAAGAATGATGGAATGGATGCAATAACCCAACAACACTTAAGCCTAGTTCAGACCAAAGATTAGCAATGGGACAAAAATCGTTTTAGAGCGTAGCAGCGAAAAATTGCAGAGGTGTGAACTGGCCAGTTTTTCCATCACTACTACAAATGCAACTGTAGCCAGTATCTCACCAACACTGTCCTCATTCATATTCTAAGAAGCTACGAGTTATATTCAGCCACAAAATAAGCCTGAAAAGCATTGCATTGGTGTTAGGGATGCACACTAATATCAGCACATCATTGATATCGACCAATACCGGCTTTAAAATATACTAGAAGAGTGCACTAAGGACACTAAGGCTTTATTTATCTTGACAAAAGAAAATGCTAAAATTTGAATTGTTTTTTATCTACATCAAAACAGTATTTATTTAGTTTGTTTTGATTCATCTTGTTTTTAGCCAGGAAGGTCCCATTGAGATACAAGATCTCTTCTTCAAGGGTGTCCTGGTCAAGTTTCACTTAAATTAAATAATGTCAAATGCTAAAACACATACAAAACATAAAAGCAACACAAGGAAAAATAGTGAGAGAAGAGGGGTAAACAGGCCATACCAGTGACATCCATTCACATTCCACCCAGGTCAAGGCCTAGTTAAAGCAGCAACATGTGTCCTTAAGGGCAGTTTTTAAAAGGCCTTCAAACATTTTCAAGCAAGAGAGTGCTTCAAAGGTAACAACATTTTGGAGCTTGTTTCATGCTAAGGGTGCACAAGAAAAGTAAAGAGTTTACCAAGCTGTGAGTGCACCCTGGGGATATTTAAAAAAAAAAAAAAATGTTTTGGAGAACGAGTGAAAAAGTTGCTGTTAGAAAAAGATGAAAGGCTACAGATATGAGTAGTTAACCGAATACTGCCATGGCAATAAATAACAGCAAGTACACATTTCTCCTCTGAAACAAAAAGGACCCTTTTAAACATTTATATAAGATGCAGTGGTTAGTGTGTGGGCCTGCATTTGTGACATAATGGCATTACATTATGTCACAAATGATGATATGCAGAATCCAGCTTGGATGAGACTGCATGCCGTTAAATCACATCACCATATTCAATGAAAGATGGTCATGTCGATTTTTGGAGAATATCTAAATCCGGGGAATATATGTGGTCAGAATTACGAATGCATGATAATATGGGCACATCATCAGTATCGGCCAATATTGGCTTTAAAATGAATTGATATCAGAATCAGCCAACATGCTTTCTCTTATTTTACACAATGAAGGACCATTGAAAACACATTGAAAATACATTGAAAATAGGGCCGTAACGGTACATGTATTTGTGTCGAACCATTCGGTACACGACTTTCGGTTCGGCACGACCCTGTACTGAATTATTGGGCGCAGGATATTATTTTATTTTACTTTGTTTTATTTTAATTCCGTTTTTGCGAGCCGAACCATTTAAAATATCTAGTTCCCTGACGGACATAATTGAGTGACGGACCGAGTCCAACCGTAAATCTCCGCTTTCACTTTGTGCAGAGCATTCTTGCATTTTGACAGCATGGCAAGTGAGCCTGACGAACCTGAAGACCCACCAGCAAACCTTAAGTCCTCCGTTTGGGAACACTTTGGTTTCAGGGTAAAATACAAAGATGGAAATAAACAAGTAGACAAGACAAAAGCAGTGTGCCGACACTGCAGAACGGCGGTCGGGTATGTACTTGGAAACACGTCTAACATGCTAACGCATCTAAAGCAACACCACCCGAGTTTGAACGTTAACCAGCACGACTAGAAAAAGCAATCTGGTGCAAACTACGATATCGTCGTCGTTTAAAAAGAAAGAGCGTTTCCCTGACCATCACGCTAAAGAAATAACCAACGCCATTGGAGTTGAGTAAAATTGTTTAAGCTGCACTTTAGATATAAGCATGTTTTGTTTACTGCACTTTAACAAAGTGGGAAAGCTAAGTAAGTTCCTAGTAAAACTGAATCTGAGCAGGCTTTAAAGCTGACCAGCTGCACTATACTTTTTATTTTAATTGAGTAAAACTGTTAAAGCAGAAATTTATATTTATATTTTTCATTCAAAAAATGTGTTAAAAAACAGCAGGATTTTATTTTTCACTTTTATATTTCTATTTTCATTCAAACAATGTGAAAAAGCAGGATTTTATATATATTTGTTTCATTCAAAAACTGTGTAAAAAGAGTTAACTGCTGTGGTGGTATGTTTTAATAAGGTTACCAATAAGTAAAAGATATTTAATAGTTGTCTATTTTTTTCATTACTGTACTGAAAAAAACCGAACCGTGACTTGTGTAGCGAGGTACGTACCGAACCGTGATTTTTGTGTACCGTTACACCCCTAATTGAAAAGCATTCTACTTAATGTCTCCATTTGCTGGTGGGTCATCACGATATGAGTATGCATGCTTAATAGGGTGGTAATTCCACTTTCAGAAGAGACTTGATGATCACTAAAATTAGATGGGGAAAAAGTGGATATATCTATCGGTATTGGTTATCAGCCAAATGATTTGACATAAAATGTAATAGGGGAAACACTGATGTTTCACAAAATGTTAATGTTACTAAGAAATGTTTTGATATTCATATTGTTTAAATTGCCTCATTAATCAAATAATGGAAAAATAATCGATAATTGAAAAAATAATCGTTAAACTCATCGAAAAATGAATCGTTAGATTAGTAGATTAATCGAAAAAATAATCGCTAGATTAATCGTTAGAAAAATAATGGTTTGGGACAGCCCTGGTTTCAAGTAGTCTTGTAGTGAATCTTTGGTCTGAACTGTTAAGTAAAATATATTTTTCTCTCCATGACACATGCTGGGCTCCAAAGCTTACAAAGTCTCACACATGCCATCCTAAACAATGACACACGATCTCATATATTTATTAATATGTGTATTATAATATTCCTGAAGTGCATTTTAAATTGTCAGTGCATATAAAGAGCGGCTATGTGAAATCACATATCTTCGTATTTGATATTTGTCTTTTTCCACAGTTAACAGCTTGTGTCCATGGGTCGACAGACATGTTATATCCAATGCACTGGCAACATGTTTACATTCCTGTCCTGCCTCAACACCTATTAGACTACTGCTGGTGAGTATCCTCACTGTTATCTACACTCCAGATCTGTCATTTTTATATCCAAGTCCATGTTTTATCTGCATGTTATGATGATGATGATGATGATGATGATGGCTTTATATTAAAATTTAGGTTACAAAGGGCTAAACATAAATAGTGGACCTTTATTTACCTTGGCTTTATTTCTACTTGTCCTTTTTTTGTTATAAGTATATTATGCCATAAACATTGTCCTATTTTCTGATCTGCTAGTTTTAATTGGCTGTTAATACACACAACACATCCTCTTGCTTACCTGTTGCCTCGATCTTTCACATTAACAATCTTCCAGAAGATAACAGGATGGGCATTTAATCACTGTATCAGCAGCTCTTAAAATTTAAAAAGCACTGGATTTAATTTCTGGGGGGACTTATAAGGCATTACAATATCTCCGATTAATGTACAGAGGTCTATTTTCTGTTGCCTGCTGTAGGCAGGGGATTAAGTGTTTGTCTATGTGATTCGGGGCTGTCAGGATATGTTAAACATTTGATGTGATGTGACAATGGACTGGGTTGCAGGAGGCTGTTTTAAGGCTCATTTATGCTCAACGTTAAATACGGATCCGGATACGGACGGAGCCTTCTGTCCGTGCTCCGCGTTCATTTCGTCCGTATTTCTGCACGTTTCCATGAAGCTTACGGATACGGGCCAAACGGAGCAGTACCACCGGGAACCGTGGGGGCAGTGTTGCTGTCACTACCAGATACGTAGCTCTAGTGAGACACGAAGAAGAAATAACAATTCAATTTCTCTCATCGGCAGTACTAGAGAAAAGAATTCTCCATCCTCCAGTCGCGATGTATTTAAAGGCCTCACCGACCACCGACTCCTACAAAGCTGCCACTGTTTTTGTCTTTTATGCAAGAGGTACATTATCAATATCTCCTCCAGAGTCGCCATGTTTGTTTTTGAGTTTGTTGTGGATATATTGTTTAACATCCATGCCAATGTAAAAGACGCATGGAAGTATGTGGGCAGTGACGGTAACATCGTTTGAAACAGACGTATACATTTTTGTACGTAAAGGGAGCATAAATGAGCCCTTAGTCAGCACTCAACACTCATGCGAGCTACAGTAGCTAATAAGCTGTGAATGTTATCTACACATAGCATGACCTTGCTTATTTGTTGTCTAACATAATACATTTAGTTATATTATAGTCACATTAATGTCATTAACACTTTAACTGCATAACAAATACAAAGATGAACATCACTCCATGCTTCTTTGTGGTTGTAGTCCAGGAGATCAGAGTGAGCATTTGAAGAACAATGGATGACCAGGTTTTAATATTTGCCAGACAAAGCTTGACATGCTTTGCAGGATATTGAGGGACTGCTGCAATAAGTTCCATAACTAAGCTGTTATCTCAGGAATCAATGTTCTAACTATAAAACTTGCTCTTTTTTCAGTGCCCCAATGCCCTACCTCATCGGAGTACATTCCAGCCTGATGGAGGTAGGTGTCTCAGGTACCAGGGGTCTATTCCTGAAAAAAAGATTTACAGACTGAGTCTGACCCTGAACTCTGAGATCAAAAATTCAGAGTTTTGGGTTCCAGAACAGTTGATCAGAGTCACTTTAACTCTGAGTAGGTTCATTGTGAGTTTAGCTTGTGGGGGGTAAATGAAAAAAAAAAAAACGATCAGTGGAGCTCTGACACCAAGATTCACCATGGCAACATGTAAATAAAAGGCAGAGCCTCCATTTTGATCCAGTGAACGCATTAATGCATGTATATGCAGACTGTGCACATTTATATTAGAAAAAACAGTGAAAAGCGTTGATAACTCAACACAATAAAGTTGTAGTCAGTGGTTTCCATTAATTCATCATTTAGGCCATAGCCTACGTTACATTTTAAATACATTTGTTGAGATTTAATCTGACTGGGGGAAAACACAAGAGCCAACAACAACAGTTTAAACTGAGATGACACATGATCTGTGATAAACATGTTAGTACTGAACTGATCTAACAGACTGACAGCTGTCTGCAGTGTTATTATAAACAAGAAGAACATGCAGAGGTTTCATTGTGAGCTGAGGGTGACTTGATGCTGGGTGATATTTGAATGTGGGGGAGAAAACCTGCTGTTCAAAGAAATGACTGACAGCTTAAAACCTGTGACTTTAGATAGCACCAAGTAACAAACTAATATCCAACCAGAATTTTGATTCTGACATCAGTAAACCTCAGCTAATAACTGTGCTTGGATCCGTGCTTTGATACAGAATGAATGAATGAATGAATCAATCAATCAATCAATCAATCAATCAACCAATCAATTTTATTCATAAAGCCCAGGATCACAAATCACAGTTTGCCTCACAGGGCTTTACAGCATACGACATCCCTCTGTCCTTAGGACCCTCACAGCTGATCAGGAAAAACTCCCCAAAAAACCCTTTAACG